AAATTGTATGGATCTGTATCCCTATCGCCAGAGAAGCACGTATGTAGTCTTTAGCAACATTTTATTCGTAATCCTAATAATCCAGCTATTAAAAATTCCCTCCCATTAAAATCTCTAATTTGAAAACAATAGAATATATTGTTCGAATGCTTGGCTTCTCATTGTTACTTAGGTGAAAAAAGTGCGTGGTGTAACCAAAAAAATCACAAGGAAATTCTGCATAGATAGTAAATATGGAAATAGTGTATATTAAATAAGCTACATGCATTAGTATATAATGAATAGCAGGAGATTTTACCGCCATTTAAGTGACCGATTAAATAATATTGGTCTACTATTCGAAATAAAATCAATTAAATTCAGGCTATTTATTTCTCAAGTTTAAATTTTAGAAAAATGCTTGAAGTCAAAAATTAATAAATTTATCCATTTGCAGTTTGAATATTTATCTTCAATTAATAAAAAAAATCGGATAAAAAGAAACATAAAATGTGGTTTACCTAAAGCACAATCATGATTGAATTATTATGATTTCATTTCATTAGTTATTAGTCCTTAAATATGAGAAAAATTTAATCATCACATACTTTTAGCCGACTTATTTCCAAGAAATATACCTTCTAAAAATTTGAGTAAAATCCTCTTTCATTCGCACAACTATTACTTTAGGTAATTCAGTTCCAATATTGTTCTATATAACTTTTAGCGTTTCACATATCATAATAGCTATTTAATAGCTATTTAGGCTAAAGTAATATTATCTTGTTCGTGAGTTCGGCATTAATGAAGCGGTTACCGATAACCATGCTAGAAAAACGCTATATCTGGTACTTTTAGCTCGTAATGAAGAACGTCTTCCTCGGGTCGCACGATGGAATCCGCAAAAAGTAAAATATTTATATGTGATAAGTAATTAACCCCCCCCAATTGAATTGATTATTGCGAATACAGCAATCACGTTACAAGAGAAAATAATCGAAAAACTAGAAAAATTTGTTAAACGATAATCTCCATCTTCCGGGTACTTGTAAATTGTACAATCACCACAAAAAAGTAACGTCCGATTTGCATGTGTAACAATATGGACAAATACGGGGGGAAAGAAATATTGGAGGTATCGCGCGTTTTTAAATTGATTTATATCATTGGATCTTGTTTTTTTTGACAATTATTTTATAATAAATTATTTATAGTGACGATCTATAACCTCATCTTCGTACGACGCATCCAGGAGTTATATAAGCTACGCGCAATTTCCTCTCAAAAAATCGCCCTTTAAATTTTGCCGCATAATGTGCCATGGAAAAGAATTAGCAGAAAGTCAGAAAGGTGGAATAATTATTGCAAAAAAAACTTGGCCACACACATACCGAGATCTCTAAGGCTGTAGGTTGTTCCCGTTCTTCTGTGATCCGCGTGTTAGAAGCACAAGCTTAAAAAATCATCTAAAAAATGATCAGATCATGGGGTGAAAGAATATTGGATGATTTTTTTTTTAATTAATTTTATTTATTTATAGAAGATTCTGATATTTATTTATTTATAGAATGATTCAGATATTATATAGTGAATCTAATACTTTGTATGACCTGGGAAAGAGTTTGATGGTGAGAATTTTTGTTAAGAGATGGTAGATCTGATCATTTTTTAGATGATTTTTTAAGCTCGTGTGCTTCTAACACATGGATCACAGAAGAATGGGAACAACCTACAGCCTTAGAGATCTTGGGTCAAGTTTTTTTGTAATAATAATTCCACCTTTCTGACTTCTTTTCCATGGCACATTAACTCCTGGATGTGTCATATGAAGATTTGTTTTGGTTATAGATCGTCACTATATGTAAATAATTTATTATCAAAAAAACACAAGATCCAATGATATAAATCAATTTAAAAATGCACAAAACATCCAATATTTCTTTCCCCCCATACATGTACTGTATATGCGTCGCGCTTTTCCATTTTTTGTTATTGTTGATCCTATCATTTTCTTCTTTACTTTTAAACATACACCAGGCGAAATTTTGTTACATGTAATTACGATATCTTTTGTCATCTTTGACAAGGATAAACTAGTGATTTTTATTGAAGTTATTAATGCCAAGCAAGCTGCAAAAAAATGTGCCGTAACCCGATGATAGTATAATGGTCTCTTGCCAAGTACAAAAGATTCAGGAAAAATGAAAATTTATCACTGTCTGGGAGACCATAAGCTCTTAAAAATCAAGAAAAAACTTACACTTATACAACAAGACATCGCCATTCACGATATTGGCAATAAAAATTCTGTCAAAAGCTTACCTGGAGATTCTCTAAAGGTATTTTGTCAATTATTGATTTGATGTTTCAAAAAAATAACACTGATCTACATTGGGAAAGAAACCATGGAATAGATTCAAACCAAACTTCATAGAAATGTCAGCAAGTCATTGGAGAACAATATTCAAAAGTGCAAAAGCTTCGTGAAAAAGCTCAAGACTACTCTGAAGAAAGCATGATCAAAAATCGATGCGTTGGTTTTGAGGAAGAGGTTGTAGGCTCAATGTCTTGAGAAATCAAAGCGATATTAAAGCCATATAAAGAGCTAATAATGTATTAGCTTAGCTGTAAAAAAATATATGGCAGAAATAAAATAAATATCTGAAATTTCATTTTTAAAAAAAAAATCGGGCGTTACGTTTTGTGGCGACTGCTCATGCATTATCATGTATTAGCATTAGTAAAGCAAATAATCTTGGTTGTGATCTACGATACTTGGAAAAAGGCAATTACAGGTTAGCGTTAGAAATCAACCAGATGTTACTTTGTTAAGTGTTAACCGAGTGGATATGTCATTGCGTGACTTTTTAACAAAATCTAATCGAATGATCCGATCCGAATATTCAAGTTGCAAGTAAATCACTTTAAATGAACAAGGTGGCATTTTGGTTACATATAAATTTCTATTCTCGAGTGTCCTCACTGCTCTCATGAGAACAAATGGGGGCAGTAAGTAAAAATCAAGCAAATCAGTAAAATCTTTGATTTTTCGATAGTTTTTTTATGTCGTTATTAATTGAAAAATGATCAGTACACTTGTTTCTATTTGATTAGTTTGACTGTCCCAACCCTGATCTATACGTTTTAAGAAGGGAATATTACTAACTGAATGATGACATACCAAATGATGCTAGTTCAGCAAAAAAAGAAAAGAGCAACTTACCCATTAAAATAAAAGTTGTGTCTATGAAAATGGCGAATTTAACGAAAAACGAATTTAGTGAATTTATTATGTTCGCGTAACGCGATATATTCATTAAAACCCTACTTATCACCTGTCATACAAACTATAATTTATGCAGGGCCCGGCTGAAATTTTAATATAATTTAATACACCGCGACTTGTTTTTCGAATATCCATAAATCTGAAAATATTATTATGGTTATGATTCTAACGCTAACATAATTTGTTTAAAAATAAACATTTAATTATGATAGATTAGGTTTGAGAATGTTCGTTTGTAAGAGAAAAAAATTAATTCAAAATAACCATTGAAATTCACTAATGAAACTTAATATCTTTTCGAACCACAAAAAAATATGGATTTTAACAAGATAACTAAACTCAAATAATCAAATCAAAGAATTAAATGTAATATAATCAACACGATTCATCAACCTTGTATAGTAAAGCCTTCAATTTTGTTAAGCACAAAAGAGAGAAAAGTCGAAGCGCTGTTTAGATAAGATTAAAAATAATTTTTATTCTTCTTCTTTTTCAAACCACACGTTGACTTGTTTCTCTGGCTTGTGAGACTACCAATTTACAGATCGTAAGTTGCTATAAGATTTGTGGGTTCTAATGTACAACGAAAGAGATTTGTAAAAATTTTTACAAAAATGACATTATAATACAAAGAATAATAATAGAATTAATTGTAATTATTAAAAAAAATAAGTAAATTTATTAATTTGGTATCAATTTATAATTATTTCTAGGAGTAACGTACAATACGAATGGTTGTGGGTTTTTACTGATAATCACATTCTTGAAAGCGTAAAGTAAGAATGTTTGTAAGTAATTCGTGTTATTGGGGAAGGCAGTGTTGATTTTGATACCACAAAGTAAGAATTTTGTATGAATTTTTTTGTAACGATATCAATTTTGATGCAAGTAAAATTTTGATTGGTTCAGATGATACGGGACATTAACGTTAATGTTTTACAACACATATTACATGTATTAGATATGAAATAACTTTACTAAAAAACCAAAAAATAAGAAAAAATTTAACTCCTCATTGAAAAATTCTTACAGATAAAAAACAAATTTATTCATTTTAATAATTACTTAATGTAATTTTTTATTTTTAATTATCACAAGATTACAATTTTTTTTAACTTTCATTTAATATAACTAATTGGTCAAGAAATTTAAAAGTCAAAAAAGATAAGTATAAAACTTCTCTTTTACTATATCTACCTAACAACATACAGTATCTTTTCATTACAATGAATGCTTTATAAGCAATTCGAAAAAACATTGAAACTGGCTCCAGATTATTATATTCTATTAGTTTAATTGGTTGAATAGTAATATTACTACATGTATAAACATTTGAATTTAAAGTAGAACATGTACATATTTTACAAATTAGTCGGGGAAATACGTTCGTAATACGTATTTTTTTAGGCAACTAAAAATACATGTTTATAGCTTCTGAAATGAAGATGCGAATTGATGGAAAAATGCAAATTACCGTAGAGCACTGACTCTATTGCTCCCTTCTCCACCAATGTAATCGCTGGAACCATGTATTATATCGGGACATTAGAATCAGTGCTTTACGGTATGCTTTTGAGTGAATTGTTAAACACAAAGATGAAGAATAAGCTAAAAGGAATACAATTGGAACATACAACATGAAAAACGTCAATACCATGTTGAGGAAAGTATGTTATTATATTTTTCAATTTCACGAGTAAGTTTGTTCAATTCTCGCAATTATAATTGGAACACTTCAATTTATATTCAACCAAGTCTTCAAATAATTCCTCGCGTCTGATCTCGCTTGTTTTAAGGAGTCCCAATCAACGGAAGTGGGAGGTCTCAGATCAGTGACATGTGCACCACCTTTAACTACCAAAATTGGTGTGTTTGGAGTGCTTTTTCGGTTGGCATCATTGCTACTGACTGTTAACGGGAACCATGGATCACCATCACCATTCACGTATATTACACGAGAGATTATTGCGTTGGTTGAGCCGTAAGCGTTGTTTATACGATCGACGTCAGGTGAGTTTGGAATGTCGGGCCAGAGAAAATTACATCGGCTTTGATAATAATCGGCATCAATTAGTATTGAACGTAGACGGAGAGAAGGTGGTTGAGGTGCTGTTTGATAATATCCAAATTCATTACAATACTATTCCAAAAACAATCACGACAAATTAGTTAGATTCCGACCAAGAAATAGATGAATTTGATAAAAATAATTACCTGCCACATCCAGGCAGTTTCATCCTGATTTTCACCTAGATCGGTAGATAATTTGTTTGTAGCATAGACTTTAAGAATCTTATCTGTATTTGTGTATCCCTGTATCTGCAGGAAATATTTCATCCCATTAGCATAAACAGCAGTCAATCCTTTCGGCGATTGATCAGGTGAATTAGTAAACGCATCGCAAAACATTTTAATCGAATCTTGTTCGCTAGACGAAGTAGGCGGGAAGTAATATTGCACCATTGGAATAAATGGATCGTTCAAAGCCGAAGCAAAATCTTTGTCATCTTGGATCGCATCCAATCCGAATTGTTTCTTTAAGTCGTCAATTGCGCTTCGATTTCCCGAAGTCAATATGGAATCGATATACTCAATAGATTCGCCGACAAGGTCTCGGCATGGGAGTCTATTAGCGATTGCTTGGTCGTATTGGAAAAAGTTTAATTCGGCTTTTACGGGTGCTGAGGAGGCGTAAGCTGCAAATATGAGGTTTGGAAATTTTTCACGAAGCCATGCTGCTAAGTTGCCGCCATATGAACCGCCAATTGAAATCCATTTTGAGTCTTTAGAGATTACATTTAGTGGTGACGACGATGAAGATGGAGCATTGATGATAAAATTTGCAAAGTCTTGCAATGCTTGTTCGGTGTTTAGGAATTTTAGATTTTCGGATTTCATGTTGGGAATGTTAGGAAGACTTTCACCGTGGTATCTATGCTCGGCTATAACTAAGAAACCATTTAGACTTGCGGCAAGTTCACTTGCTTCACTGTATTCCACGGTAGATGTCATAATTGCACTTTCACCACCAACGTAAACTAAAATTAGAAGTTTATGATTAATCACTAACTAAACAATAAATGCTACAAGAATGTGGAAGATGAGAAGACATACGAAAAACTGGTCCGCCCGGTTTATAAAAAGTTGAATTAACAAAATAACGTTGGTTGAATTGACCTTGACTCTGGTCATTATGATCAATCGGTTGCGTGAAAAAATATGACGTAGAATCTCTGTTTTTTATCTTTTTTTGCTCCGGTTGTGGCTCAATAAACGTTGGGATAAATGAGTGATCTTCAAATATTCTAACAAATAAGAAGTACAACGATGAGTTATTTTTTTTATTCCGAATTTTGATATGAAAGAAAAGTAGGTCTTTACCCAAATTCATTTATGTCAAATCTTTCAATGTTATGCTGCAATGGCAACGCTTCCAATGTACTCGACAAATGGGTTATCAATAATAAGAAAATTAATATACTGTAATTGCAATATTTAGCAGACGACAGCGCTAGCATCTTCGTTTAATTTAGTTGATTTTTTCTCTTTTGATTAATTTGTGAGATAACGTTTTATTCTATAAAACATTGACATTCGATGCTAGTAGTGTCTACCAGAGAACCAAAATAAAAAGAGAAAAAATATGTTCAAAGGGAAATAAAAAATATTGGAGTAAAGATTTTTTTATGGGAAGCCTTGGTCAATTTATCTGAAAAAATTGATAGTTTCTTTGAGATGTGTGTTAACGGTTAATACATGTAAACAAGAAAAAACGATTACACACAACTGAAACTAAACAAAAAGAGACATTTAGATATTATTTTTGGATGTTGTTATTAAAAACACACCGCATACATGTATGATATAATAGGCATCTGTATCATTACATGCATTTATGTGCATATCGATACAGTATTTAAAAGAAAAGCAAGATAGCACAAATACGTACCATAGAATATCAACAGAAAAATCTACCAAATTGCTAAAAAGAAAAACGATCGGTCTTTGTTCTGTTTTTAATACAAATATGCACACGTTTCATCTACATGCATACACTTTTTCGCATAAAGAAACCTTGTTAACAAGTTTTTTTAGCCAGGATATGAACAATGAGTACGATTTCACATAGGTCGTCGATCCTGGTAATTTTAGATCTTACTGAGTATGAGCTGGGTAAAATTGACAGAACAATGTTACTTTGTCCTATTAATGATATTAGCATAAACTTTCTACCTAAAATGATATTTTGTAATTAATTGAAAAAAGACTTTTTACAAATATGAAACACTTAAATTGTAGCAGTTGCGTTTAGATATTAGCCATGGTTTCATTTGATTTTAACGGATTTATAAATTAATTTTGTTGTATTTTTTAGCTCTAGAATTTAATAAAAGAAATACAATAAACATGTTTCTATGCTTATTTTGTCACGGATCATTTGTGAAATTCGCGTGATCTACAAGGATCTAGTTCAGGGAACCGGAAAAATTCCGTTGTGATTTTGAGGTTTGACTTTGAAAAATCCCGAAATTGAATTTTATAATTCTTATTATAATACATAATTGTAAAGTGCACGAAGAGATTCTTATCCAAATTTTCTTCACTAAAACTACGTTCTACACTTACACTACATTATAAATTGGTAACTAAATATATATATTTGATAGCTATTCTCACCAAGAAGTGGGTAATTGATATCAAATTCGATTTCATTTAAAATTGATATTACAATAAATTGCACTATTCTTAACGTTTGTTGTGTTGTGTTCGTAGATGATATGATTTTCTTTTGGTTTTTATGACTTGATGTATTAATATGCGAAAGAATAGTTATTTTATGTTCCATTTAACTGAATGGCTACAAAACTGACATAATAAAATTCCATTATCATAACGAAAATCTTCAGAAAATTCTTGGGCACGCAGTTATTCGTTTTTGTTTAGCGTTAAGAGACATAGCTTTTTAAAAAAATTCCCGTTTTTCTCAAAATTCCGATATCATGATATATGAATTTCTCCGTGTCCCTGATCCAGTTCAAATATGTTTAAGTAACATCATTTTGGGGGTCGAAAATTAAGAGGTTGCTTAAATTCGGGTATTTTAGAAATTCCTTAAAAAAATGGAGTGATCATACCGTAAAATGCAATGGAAACCATCCGGAATCTCTTACATTCTACTTAGAGATGTGCCTATGCGCATTATGCGCGCATATATGCGCATAATACGCATAGTTACTAACCGATATCGTAAATGCCCATACACAATTATGCATATGGTTAAGTTCATAA